ACTTAACGGAATTTCATGATTCACCTTATCGCATTAACCGTATGGGTCCCCATCTCCAGTAAACAGATGATCGTATTTATTAATTAACTCTGTCATATTGTGTACCTTCGACAGGTTAACCGCTGCTATCTCGCTGGTCTCATACATGCTGATGCGTCCGTATTTCGTGATCACAACCTTCGCTTGCGTGTCGATTATCGCACCAATCTCCCGCAGAAAATCCGCGCCAAGTATCGTCCGTCGTAATTCGGGCACAACAATGAAGGGGAACGTCATCTCGCAGCTGCCAACCACGACCGTACAGTTCTATCTACCCGTGATACGCAATACGTGCCCACCTACCGTTTGTACTGTCAATGAACATGGACTAACACTCGTACATAAGTTCTTATCTATGAGGGACACAGCCGCCCCCGTATCTACTAAACATACTACTACTTGGTCATTCACTCGCAACTTCGAATACACAGCCCCTTTCTCGATAGCCCCCACTGCATCTAGTCTGCTGTCCATCTTTGACCTTGTTTTCACATGATTAATATTTGATAGATAAACATTGACCTCAATTACTGTCAACCAATTTGGCTAGCAACCATCTCCCACCACAGTGGTAGAAATCCACTGGCTCTTACTAACTTTTGTTTTCAGGTTATTAGCAGCTTTTACAGCTGTATGTTGTGCTAGGCTACTTCACGAGGAGTACTGCTGTGGACATAGGATACTCGTTTCGCTACTTCTTCCTTAAATAGGGACTTAGTGTCTCGATCTACTTGGGGACGTAACTGTCTCGCTGCCAACAATTTCTTACATCCGTTTAGTCATAAGCATAAACGTGCGCGGGCCAAAGTGTGATCGAATTCTACGCACGTGTTCCAAAAGGAGCGGCAGTCTTCTACTGACTCTCACCAACCATACCCTATCGCTATATGGTCTATCTGAGGCCAGCGCTGATTTGATGACGGAGGTCACCAGGTTACGCAGTGTCTCTCTTTGTGCCTACAGTTAGTGCTGACTAGGAACAGATGATTATCTGAATAGAACTGTAGAAGACGATCACCAGTTCGTCGGCAGGGAACTCCATGCGTGCCACCTATCTACTTCTCAGTCAGGCACAACTTCCCTACTTGGGCATTGAAGTCGCCTGCTAAAACAACTAAATCTGAACTTTTTACAGCAAAATAAACAGTTTCTGGTAGAAGTCATCCTTTAGTTCTTCCGAAATGCACTCTGTTGGGGCGTAAGTGGAGACTATGAAAAGACAGCGAGGGTAACGCCGTCCTTCGTTCTTCTAACGGACCGCACATATACGACTATCTACTGGGATCCAGCCAAGAAGGGATTTTACTGCCCTAACACTCAATGCTATTCCTACATATGCGAGTCCTCGCGAACTGGCTGAGGGGTCTCCTGATACCCTTAGAGTGAATCTTTGTCGATGTTCATCAGACTAGTGACTTTATGTGACGGTATATACTACTGACTGGCTGATATGAGGAGTTGGGTACTACTCACATCAACTAGTAGTGCTTGCTGGCCAGATTGAAGTGATCTAAACACCATAAGACCGTTTCACCCGACTGGAACTGAGCTCATCAGTGTTGTGCTTAGCTCAAAGGGACGAATCCACCCGAAATCTGCTTAGCTACTTGGACCACAACTGGCAAAGCATGAGTTCGAATTCGCGAATTACACAGTTAGAGCACGGAGTTTCACCAGTTCACTTTGGAAACTGGAACTATGTGGGGGGCATCCAACTAATCATACCAGTCATTATGTAGTATATACCACCATTTATTCATGGTTGCTATTTTGATTGTCATTTTCGCTACCAAGTCAGTAATATTTTGATCTGAATAATTTTGAATTTCAAAGGAGACTGCAGTGGGATTTCACTGTATAGCGTACAAATCATCAATTTTGTCCTGTGTAGCTAGGCAGAATTTGATTAGTTTAAACGGATTTGGCTCTTAATGCTTGGCCAAAACTGGACACACCATTGACGACCGAAATGGCTGACTGATGTTTAAACCACTTATATATTTGGCTAACAAGCACTGCCGGCTAACGTAAGCGGTATTTTTATCAGTGTATATATGTAAAAATTGAGCTCTGTAGTAGTATGTAGTTCCATACTCTTTTGTTTTTTGCCTACACCAGTCGATGACGTTTCAAACACAATTTATTTTTCCTAAGCATATCAGATGCCTAAAAAATTTCAGTGCTCCAACGACAAACAGCAAGGAAGTAAAAGAACTATAAAAATCAAGTTCCAAAGTTATGCAGTTCCAATAAATATTATGAATAATAATAATATTGTTTCATTCTGTGATATACCGAATAAACAAACTAATATGCAGAATATATCAACATTTAGAGTCCATTATTAACCAGCTTTCTAGTGTGAAGTAGACGTTTTATAAATATGATCGAGGACTAAATTTCATAACGTAAATTAAGATTCCACTGGTTGAATGAAGAAATCGTATCTTGTCAGATGCATGCTGATTGAGCTTTTTCTGTCATTTGGAGCATAAGTGATAACAAAGCATTCATGAGAATTGAAATGAGAGAAGGTGCTTCTTGTATCTTCTTTAGATACAGAATATGACAGTCAACGATTGCAAGAGTTACTACTTACTAATAATATAATAATAATAATGATGTTAACACTGATTTTAGGTGTCAGAACCAAAATCAACCAACAGGATTCAATGCCTTTATTGATTTCAATCGATCGACAACATTCACCATCAACAGAGGAATCTAAAAGGGGTCGTCTCTTTCACTTATTTACCCGTTTCCTCAGCATTGTCGATCGTTTTAACTAAAGGCGATATAGGCACGGATGTCAAAGCCGAGTTAGGATAGGGAAGACAAGTCAGGCCATCTTTACTCTGAAATCAGTGTGGAGCACTTAGCACAAGTCCGACTTTTCAATGCTAATGTCAAGTCACTGCTTCTGTGTGACTCAGAGACTGTCACCGAAAGCATTTCCAGCAGTCTGTTGCAAACTTCCATCAATAGCTAGCTATCTTCGCTCGACACTGTATATCAGATGGTCTGCCGGAAAGCATAAGCGAACTCAGCTGAGAAGCTAATACCCAACAAATATGCATAAGGAAATAGATGTGAGTTGGATATACACTAAGAAGACTGATTAGTGATAATATACTCCAGATCCTGGAATGTAAGCTGAACAGGAATCGATGGGATGAGCGTCCTCGAAGTAAAGTAAAGATCACATCAAGAGGAAGAGAAAGGCTGTGATCAGTTGTGGAGCCAGCTGAAGGTTGACAGGCAACTACATGCAATGGAGGTGTGAAGCTGAGGAGCTATGTTCCCCTCAGAACTCAATATAAGAATATGAATATAATATTTATCTTATTAAGACAATCAATGCTTTTTAGTTCTCTTCCATAGATAAATTTACAAAAAACTGTGTCGGCGAAATCTTATGTAGAACTGAATTCTGCTAAATGTCCAAACCACTAAGTTGTATCAGAAAATAATAACTAATTGCAGGGAAAAGTTGCGACACAAACCGCTACTGGATGCCTGTTTTGATACAGTACTGAAAAAATGGCTTAAAAAGTCTGACCTGAGTACAAAACCATAATAAGGTCAATTAGACAGCAACTAAAGTAAAATTGAGTTAGTAAGTTAGATGACATAATATAATTGACTAAAATGTTCCAATTTAGGTCAGGATAGCAACAGAGGTAATAACAGGTAGAGACTAAACCAACTGTCGCGTTCACTTAAGAAAACCTTCTTCGCAGATGAACTACGATTAAACTTCTCCATGAAACTTATGATTCGTGTGAACGTGAAGTATAGGCTACCACTGCAGGCCTCATCAATGTGCATCTACCACGTCACCTGCCAGGTATTTCGACCGTACCCAGCGTTCGCTATCAAAACGTATCACCGAACACTTAGCAGCTTCGTCTTACAAAGGAAAAAACGATGCCCCCGCAGCTTTATCTTAGGAAATCTCATAGATTCCGGACACCAAGTTACACCCCAAACAAACTTCAAAGTCACCTACAGAATACGAAGCAGTCTTCCTAAGAGTGTACGAATTAGACTTCTTCAAACTGCAGAAGCAATGGCAATTCACTTGCTAAGCCCTGAATTCTACATACAGAAGTTCGTTCAATCACTACATTTGTAATGGACATAATCTATCTTAATACCCGACAGGTGAATTCTATTTTTTTCTGTCTCTTCATTAGTATTATCTTGTCTTTACAATTGTAATATTTTACATTTTCAACTTTCCTGTTCTCTACCCCCACATGATTTAATTTCTACACTTCATTACCACTGTTACTGACTTGACCAAGGCTCAATTTCTAGTCATTTATGTTACGTCATCCAATTGATCTGCTCAACTTCAGTCCTAATTTAAATGGTTTTGTTCTCTACCCCACCTCTACTTAGTCTCTACCTGTAATTACCTCTGTTGCTATCCTGACCTAAGTTGGAACATTTTAGTCAATTATATTATGTCATCTAACTTACTAACTCAATTTTACTTTAGTTGCTGTCTAATTAACCTTGTTTCTATATTAGATCATTCTTGTATTACCTAATTAATTATCTAAACTTGACAAACCTCATGTACGCACACACAAAATAATTATATATAAATGCGATTGTACAGCTATGTGAATGTATTCTCCGAAAAGAGTCTCTTCGCTAAACGTCTTCTCTTTTTCATATGACTCAATGGGGATTTATAAGCTACTTAAACGTTGTAAGAAACCATAACAAGCAACATGAGCAAATAGTATTTGATTGACGGTATTAGCCATGTAACGAAGCTACTCATATGCAGAAGATTATCAGTGAACCAGAACTTGAATACGCCTTACATCAGCAGTCATATGATTTTCCTGTGTTTCTGAGCATATTAAGAGAACTGTGATTTCCCATAATTTTTTATAGGAAAGCAGCAATGACGCGTTTTATCTAGAAGCTTTCGAAAATAAGACGATTGGTCTAATTTATTTCACTCATTGGAAATGGTAAACAATAGTGCTTTATAGTTAAGTAGAAAAAAATAAATCATCATGAAGGAGGTGGACCTAAAGGTTGCTGAAGATTAAAAATTTCGCCGGGAATTTTACAGAACAGTTTGCTTGCTCTTTGTAATAAATATTTGGCGCACAAATTAAAGTTCAGAGCTGTGCTGTTTTGCACTGGAATAACAGGAGATAAGTTAAGTTTATGTGTGCTCACGTAGAGAATAGTGAAAAAAAAGAAAATAAGTGAGTATAAAAAAATAAAACTAACAATAGTAAGGTCATCCATGAGGGTCATTCGTAAATAATGTTTTGCACGTGTATTGTTCATCAGATCTGTAACCACAAGCCAGCACTGTGACGGCCACAGATTCTTCAGCTTGGCTGTTGCATTAGTGTGTAGAAATCTAAATTGAAAAAATTCGGAAATATTGACCGGTATCAGACAAGATAATGCATTATACATATACATATATATTTAAAAACTTTTAAGCGAGAGGAACTCAACTTCATATAAAAAACCCAGTTCTTTGCGATTTAGTTTTGCCTCATAGGAAATACCTGCCAACTATATGTAATACAACCTTTTGTTCTCTGAAATCAAAGACATCTCATTGCTGTTGAATATTTTCATTCATCGTCTCTTTGGTGAGGTTTGGGAGTAACTTAAGGTATTCTTCTTTTCCCACAAGGAATACGAATAAAATATTTTTCTAGTTCTTCCTTCCAACGAGTATTAGTAACGACAGAGGCTATTCAGACTCTGCATGGCAGCGAGAAGACAGGAATACGTTGGACCGACAAGTAGACTCTAGAAGATATGGATTTCACGGATGATTTATGTTTAATGTCACACAAAATACAGGCGAAAACCGACAAACTGGTCGAAGAAGCAGCAAAGACAGGACTCCAGGTGAACATAGACAAGACGGAGGTTATGAAAATAACCAACCAACAACAACAACAACAGCAGCAACATCCAGCGCCAATCACCATCAACGGGAGGGATTTGAAAGAGGTTACTTCTTTCACTTATCTAGGGAGCATTGTCTCAACTACAAGAGGAACGGAAGAGGATGTCAAATCGAGAATCGGGAAGGTGAGAAACGCATTCATCAACCTGAAACCAATCTGGAAATCTTCGTCACTCAGCCTGCATCAACAACAAAATACGGATTTTCACTACAAACGTCAAGCCAGTTTTTCTACACGGATCAGAAACTTGGAGGTTCACAAAGAATATTTCCAACAGGTTGCAGACCTTTATCAACAACTGTCTTCGTTCTATACTCAAGATCAGATGGCCGGAAACAATCACCAACAAGAAACTATGGGAGCAAACAAAACAAGAACCAATCACTCAACAAATATGCAGGAGAAAGTGGAGATGGATTGGACACTCGCTGAGGAGGCCGCTGGGTGAAATCGCGCGTCAGGCCATAGTTCGAGCGGAACCCGAAAGGGAAGCGGCGAGTGGACGTCCAAGGGTGACATGGAGGAGATCGTGTGAAGAGGAGTTGAAACAGTATGGACTAACATGGATGCAGGTGAGAAGTACAGCAGAAGACAGAAGCAAGTGGAGACGTGTAGTTGAAGCCCTATGTTCCATTAGGAACCCAAGGGAACAATAATAATAATAATACAATAACAAAGGGTTTAGTAATATCGTGAGAATGTATTTAAACAGCAAATTGCTAATTAACTGGGTTTCAATAGAGATCAATTTCTCCTCTTTTTATTAAACCTTATTTACATAAACTGTAACTGACAAAAATAGTGTCATATAGAAAGAAATATACCAGAAAAATCGTATTCGTTTCACATGACTGCAGCAAAATAAAGTCAAATTGATATCAAATTCATTACATACGCATACACCAAGCTTCCATGAGTAGAGTAACACTATATACACTGAAATAAAAAGATGACACATATAGTACAAAATGGTTTTATCAATGTATTGGCCTTCAGTTTACTACTTCCAGAGTAATAATAATAAGTGAGTGACAACAAGTAAGACCTACGGAGGATAAAAAGCAAATCCACACTTTTAGATAAAATAAGAGTAAGAGGTAGTAATGAAAGCAGCATAATCCAAACCCCAGTAATTTTCAATAATTTAAAGAGTTGAGTAGACTTAAATGTAGCTCAAAAAGACCAAAACCAAGCCTTGAAGCACTAGTGAGAACACATCTTTTGCCTAATTTCTCAATGGAAATATATTAGCAACTTGTGAATATAATGGAAGTGTGTATGCCTCTTTTTCTTCAAACCCATCTTTGGTATTTTCTAACCAAGGATGACACCAGTAACAATCTAAACGAACATGTTTGCAGGATAATACGAGCTCGTTTTATTCCGTGGATACTCATCAACTGCATACATCTTAAGTAAAATCAAATTGTAACAACAGAAGACAAGGGTCGGGCAACAGATCACCTATTAAGGAAATCAAAGCATATTTAATTAAGCAAACAACACAGTCTTCTGATTGGTTGTTTCTCACTTAAAGTTAATCTTTCATCTCTTTGTGACTGTCTCTTGAATGTCAGATCATCCATATGTTAACTGTATCCGCCTACGCAAAGTCTGCTGTGGTTAGTTTTGAATCAGTCTTTGTTCATATTTTCTCACGACAAATCTTGAGAACGTAAACATTGACGTAAATTACTGTCTACCAATTTGGCTAGTAGACAGCTCTCACCACAAAATTATAAGTTTCAAAAAACTTTTGGAACATACTTTTTCATAATTACTTGGAGTTATAGATAGAAGGTATAAGGAACATAATTCCAGAATTTGATGTAGGTAGACAGATTATTGCCTCCAAAGCCTCAGGATGGTCGGGGGTGGGCGCCTTGCGCTGCGGGTTGGCCACCCCTCCGCACACCTCTTGAAATGCTCCCATATGACCGGGCGTCTTACATAGCCTCTCCCGAGGAAGTCCTACTCACTGCCTTCACGTGGCGGATGTGTTTTTCACCAAAGTGAGAGGGCGAAAGCGGATGCCCGGCGCTCTTCACCGGGTTGACTGTCCATTGGATGACAGTCTAGGGGAGATAGCTAAACCCTGATTCCAAACCTCCAACGACTGGCGTATGAAGCTCACTGGAGCTCACCGGCAGACGTATGGACAAAGGGCTTGTTGGATGTCCTGGATGTCTGGCCCCATTCAAAAAGGCGTATGAACTGAACTCCGGTCAGCGGCTGCCAATGGATAGTGGACTCCCTACTCCACTCCTACTGCCTTGTAGGTCACACTTGGTTGTGTAAAGGCTAGAGCTGCACTCTCAAACAAAAGGCCGAGCGATTCTGGGGACATCACTCGTACCAAATTCCCATGAAACTCCATGAACTCTCTTACATGGTTTGGTACAGTCAAGGCTGATATGGAGTGCCTGGGGCTACAAACCGTCTACGGACTCCGTCTGTGGAACAAGAATTGGATAACCTTGTCGCAAAACCTTGCATCAGATCGCCGCGCCTGGGCAGCGATGATTCGAGATGTTCATGAAGCTGGCTCATCGTCCCGTAGGAGATAGCCGAAGTAAAGTAAAGTAAGACAGATTATTCGGTGTCAAAAAACAACTAATTATATATAGTGGAATCAGATAAGAGGGTTAAGAGTTCAGATTTCTATTGGAAAACACAGATTGGTTGGTTAGAGGCATATTACAGGGTCAGAGAACAAAGTGAATTTACACATCTTGTGGTGGAGAGTTTAAGACGGTGGGGGTGAATAGCGAAGTAACATTTTTAACTTAAACAGACAAACAATTAAGTAGATTTAGAAACTTGAAGGTCAAAATTGAATAGAATGTTACGTAACAAGACAAACACACAGGCATACTGACAAAAAGGCAAAACAATAATAAAATAGAATTAGGGTTCTGTAAATTCTTTCTCTCTTCAAACTAATAAAGGGAACCGATTGTATGAAAATGATTTTTATTCACTGCATTAAACTGCAGAAATTTAACTATGACGTTTTTCTCAGTAGTTATAATGTGACTTGAATGACTGTATACTCTGCTTCATTTTATTTGATTTAGCTTTGTCAACGTCCAGTTAATTGCTTATAATTCATTTGTTACTACCTTTTAGTATTTTTCTTCCAAATGAGATGTAGAATAATATTTATATTTTGAAATAAAGATCAATAATTAAGTGACGTGAGGTACAAGCCAATCACTATTAGCTGCATAAACACAGAATTTTCCTTCAGGGAAATGGACCACACTCCCTATATCGTATCAAAGTCTTTAAAAATACAAAGTAGCTGGAAAAGTAAGTGTAATACTAGGAAAAATGCAGCCGCTGCAATATATGCTCACTTAATATTTGATGGTGTTATATTGCCTGACTTTTCATTTATCGAGTTAACATACTTCAACTGATTTTCTACCATCACTTACATATTCGATCCCTGATTTACATCCTCGTTGTTGTCAACTTCGACCGCTTGTTTAATAACTTTATGTTTTTCTTGTCTGTAATTCTTTGTACTTCCGACTTGAGAAAATTAAAATAAACAAGAAAAAATAAGTGAAACTAGTTGCATTTAAAGTCGGGAAACTAAGAGAAGGAACATTAAAAGATTAAGCAATGATGAAAAGCTCTAGACCTAGGGATATTTTGGAAGACTGTCATTATTATCTTCTGTGGAATGGTGCATTCGTCGCATGGGAAAATAAGAATAATGATGAATTTTCACTTTGTTTCTACTGCCTCTTACTTAGAATGACTTCGAATATAATATCACATTAGCTTTATTAATACAATGTAATTAGAACTCAAAAATTACTTCATTGCACGATATGTTTTTTCAATACTGTAATTCAGATAAATCAATTATTCTTCAAGGAGTAAATAGTTAATATGAAAGTGCTTTTAAGAGCATTTCACAAAAGTAACAACTGAACTATACAAATGAATAAATTTCAATTGGAGCCAAGTTCACAGATGCAGACGACTCAGGCTTGATATCATAATTATTAATTACTCCTTAATTATCAGTTTCTTTATGTTCTTCTATCTGTTGCGTTTTTCGTTTCCTCTAAGTAGGGAATAAAATTCATTGTCTAAATCCACAAACTGTTTACATTGTGTTAAATTGTATGTCATCCTGCTCACCTTCTTCAACTTTCACATTATAATATATTACATTCTGTTTTGTAATCTTTCACTTAAAAATATAAACAATTCAAGCCTAGTGCACTGTTCATCTATTAACTATTATATTTTCATAGTAATTTCACTTGGGATTTTACAACTTTTCTATTTTTATTTTATCCTCCATTTATTCACATTAAAATCTATTCGTATGAATTTGATCGTAAGGCTGTAAAAATGTAAAAACGTTAATCAGCTATATTTATTTGCTTTGAATAAATACCTTCTAAATATTTAACGTATACTATTTGTCACTTTTAAACCTATTATCGTAAGGATGCACACACTTAACTGCCTTCTAGTAACCACTGTCTTTTAATTTAGCTAAGGTAAGAATGGTTGACCCAGAGAAGATAAGTAATTTAGAAAAAAGCTCAGCAATTGCAATGCATGCATTAGCACACAACCACACAATAGGGTGGGTGAGGGTTAAAATTCTAAAAAGTAATCTAGGTAGGTGGAAAGAGGTTGATTACTGAATCCTTGCTCATCGAACCTACACCCAACACATGCAATAGGAATGATTCATTACTCATATCCGAAATATCGAAAATATTACTATCAATCAAATCAAGTGAAAAACAATGGAACTATATAAATGAATTTAGGAAGTCGCGTGATTACCTTGATATGATTATGAGCAATAAATTGTGCTCGAAACGTCATCAGTAAACATTACTGTATAACACTGTGAGACTTTATCAAAACAAAATTTACTCATAATGGAAATCTGCATTTCGTCAGTATGTGTACTACAATAGAGGTGGATTACTCTTAGTGAAACTAAGAATGGTGAATTACACACATTTTAGGTCCAAAAATATCTTTGTTGATAAGTAGAATTTTTCTCGCTACATTGCGCACAGTAATTGCTACTTAGAGAAGTCCTTCCGGTTTTTCATATATGCTCCCAACTCATTTTATTATTATTATTGTATCCTTTAATTGCTAGAGGAACATAGGGCTTCAGCCGTGCGTCTCCATTGCGTTCGGTTCTCCGTTAGAGTCTTCACCTGGCTCCATGTCTGCCCACACGTTTTCATCTCCTCTTCACATGATCTCCTCCAAGTCACCCTTGCACTGACGAACAACTCCCCGCTTCCCTTTCGGGTTCCACTCGAGCAATGGCTTGTCTAGTGATGTCACATGATGGTTTCCTCAGAGTATGGCCAATCCATCTCCATTTCTTCCTCCCTATTTGTTTCACAATCGGTTCCTGGTTGGTTCGCTCCCAGAGATCCCTGTTGCTGATCTTTTCTGACCGGCCATCTGATCTTGAGTATTGAGCGAAGACAACTGGTAATGAAGGTCTGTAGCTTGTTTGAGATGCTCTTTATGACGCGCTGGCCAAGTCTCTGATCCGTATAGTAGCACTGACTGACTCAACATTGGAGTTGAAAATCCGGATCTTATTTTTGATACTGAGTGTTGTTGACCTCCACATAGACTTGAGAGTAGTGAAAGCTTGTCTTGCTTTTCCGATTCTTTCTTTGATATCCTCGTCAGTTCCATCCTCCTGTAGTTGAAACGATGCTTCCCAGGTAGGTAAAAGAGGTCGTTTCTTTCAGGTTCCTCCCATTTATGCTGATTGTTGTCTGTTGTTGTTGCTGTTGGTGGTGGTGTTGCCCGGGAATCTTCATCACCTCTGTTTTCTCTATGTTCACCTGAAGTCCTATCTTCTCTGGATGCTTCTTCGGCCAACTTGTTGCTTTTCGCTTGCATATCTTCCAGTTTGTGGGAAATCAGACATATATCATCGGCGAAGTCCAGATCCTCCAAGTTTTTTGTGTGTGTCCATTTTATGCCTGTTTCCTCATTGCCCGCTGTTTGTCGCATTATCCAGTCTACTGCAATCAGGAAAATCATTGGCGATAGTAGGCAGCCAGCTTGTCTTACTCCTGTCCTCACTTCGAAGGGTTCCGTAAGTCTCCCCTTGTGGATTACTTGGCATGCAGCATTGTCGTACAGCTGTTGGATGAGATATACAATTGTCGGTGGCAACCCGTAGTAGCGAAGTAGTTTCCAAATCACCTCTCGATCGACGCTGTCAACTTATTTTATACATTAGCAGTATATGCCTGTAATAAACAGCACGATTTTTACTGTAATATAAAACTCTGTGCTGATTTAGTTCAAAACAAAAAGCTCTGTTACTTCTGAAAGCTACTCGATGACAACACCGAGAAAATAATTTGATAAGACATAATGCATCGACTGATTTAAATCGGTTATGATATATCTTTACTAGCTTTATCCGATAGAATAATATGTTTATCAGTTTTGTTTACTACATCTAGCTTATCTGGAGTGCGTTTATGAAACTTTTAGTTTGAAGTAATTTTTTCGGCGGGTTCGTCGTATTCAAAAAACGGCAGATTTTTAATTTTGTTAAATTACTTTTGCTTACTGTTTCATTAAGTCAAAAATAAAAAATAATTATGCGGAATACTGCCCACTATAATTAGCTCTTGACTTTGTCTTCAAATAATTGTAAAAACAACAGTGTTTTAGGTTGTTTTTCGTATACAAACTTAAAAGTGTACCCAAATACAGCTCTCGAATCGTCTGACATACATAGAACTTAGCACTCTGGTGTACTGATTCAAAAAAGCAGACAAATTATAAGAACACAAATAAAATAGCACTACAACAATTGTGTACCAGCTCTTTGAATTCATGAAATTCAATGTTAATTTTAATGTCAGAAAAAATATACTTCTCAGCTTTTAAATTACCTGAATTGTTTACGACAGGTTCTGACCGTGTCCTTATAAGTGAATTAGAAGAATTTTTGAGCATCTATAAAGTAAGATAAATAATTACGTGAGATAAAAACAGTAAACCATTTGTAATTGCCACCTAATTTAGGTGAGTCACACTCACACACGATAAAAGAATGCATTATAAGGTGTCTGTTTAAAAATGGTAGGATAATGAAAGCGGAGAATAAAATAGACTTGTATAACTTTACAAAAATATTGTCTGTAAGTTTTACTTATATACTTATATCTAGTAACGTTTAAAAGATTAAAACTTACTCAGATAAGACTTAACAGTTAGTTGATTTATACTCCTCAGTCCTTTATTCAACTAAGCTTTGGTTACAATTTCTAAAATACGGCTACTAATTTTAGATTCAAGGTTGTTAACAGTAAAAGACCTCATCTCTAGGTCAATTAAGCTTATTTTACTACGAGTAAAGCCAAAGATAGCAGTAAAATTTCAGAGAAAAGCACTTGTGATGATACGTATTTAATATAAGAAAAAAATTTAAATAACAAAAATGTCATACCAGGTCCTTTTGATATTCATTTTCATTTTCTCCGCCGAAAGAAAAGCCTTTTCTACACTGAACGCTCTTGTCAAATTTTTTCACATTATGTACACATGAAGTTGTTTGAATAACTCTATTAGCGATACCTGCCTCGTATATTTCTTGGGCCAAACTTTTCAGCCTTATAGATTCAGCTACTGGCCAGGTTCGGATGAGTGGAGGTCCATAGAACGACTGAAAGACTGGGGATTTCAAAACGCTATATTCAAAATTACGCCAGTTTTGAGGTGATTCAAGCCTATAAATTACAAATAAATTATGCGATTGTATGTAGGCAAGTTACTAACTTGTCTAGCCATCGTTACACTAATTCACGGAAAAAACGAAATAATGATTACTGATGCAGCTACAAAAGTTACCTGAAGAGCGATCCTGTATTGTTATACTTTTAATTTGATTTACATAGTTTTAGTAAGAAAAGAACAGTCTAGAAAGTTTTAGATAAACAGTGTCTTTTTAAACTAGATTTTGGGTTAAATTGAAAGTTCTACATCTCATAGGTTTTCAGCTTTCAAAGTAATTATCTAAGTTATAAAACCTCAATCCACTATTCACTCTTCTAATATATAGTCAAATGGTTTCTGATTTCGAGCAAAATAACTGCCCGTTTCTGATATTATGCATTTATTCCCTCTTATGAATTTGAATAAAGTAAAAGTAACGGTCTGTGCAGTTTACCATCGTTTATCTCGTTGGCTCTTCATCAGCTGCTTACAGCCTAAAGAAATTAAGTTTATTATATAGGACAGTTGTAATATATTTGCAAATATGACATGATATTCATTAACACGAAACTCGAGACTTAATAAAAGTGCTCAGAAATTAAATTAGATATGGTGGAAAGGAATTTGCGTAATAAAGACAAGAAGTGGATAAGATGATGAGTGAGTTACTGATAAGCTGACGAGTCTGAGATCATCACTTAGGATACTCATAAAAGACCACAACCGTCTCGAGTAACTTTGTACGTTTTGGTGCACTGAGCATGAATTTCTAAATAAGTATTCTTAATCTATTCTAAGATCTGATGAAATCCACTATTCATACACAATGGATACTACAATGAAGATATTTTAGACTCCCAAAGGAGACTTTATATTATACGCGTGATTAACACGCGGTACTTAGATATTTAAATGCATGAAGTATGCAGAATAAATGATAGCCTAATCAAACCATTACTCTCTCTCATTAAAACTACTTGTTGTCACCACACAAATTTACATGAGGAAACATGCTAGTATTATTTATACCTATTAAAGCATTGTATTTGAATGTACACAAACAAGAAACTAAATCAAAGTACTTGCTTTAATTCCCCTACTAGAGACTGTACTGCCGAATATGGATTAAAAATGGCTTGGTTTTTCATAAATGTCATGGCACACCATGCTTTCGAACTTAATCGCTTTAAACTACTTTTCTACCTTTTAGCAACGAAGCACTCAAGTAGCAGCATGAAAGTACAATTACAACCATTGGTATACACGAAAGCACCTTAAACTGACCTGTCTCAGTAATAAATTAATCATAGCACCTAAAATATCTATTCCTCTCCTAAAGTCAGCTGATACCGATAAAAGATAGAATATAAAGCATTATGCATATGTTTTTGCATCTTAGCTTCGCAATCAGTATTCCAGATTCCATTTAGAAGCATATTTTACCTTTACTTAAGCTGAAAGACATTGTTACCAATCGCGTACAGTAAGTGGGAGTTTGACTGTGTGAACGCAGTTAAAGTAAATTTATGATCGAACCATAGTGTAAATTTATTTGATAAAAGTAACCAAGTGACAGGGTATTATTTACTTGGTACGTTTAGAGCACAATTTATTGCTCATAACCATATAACTTCGACATGCTTACGAGCAACAAATTGTGCTTGACATGACACCAATAAGTAACACTCTGTTACTTAATCGGTCGGTCGGTTTTCGACATAGAACTTTGCACATATGTGCGGCAGTTCAAGTCGCCACACTCCATGCAGCACACAAAGCAAGAGAAGAAAGTAGGAGAAATGCTTTTTATAGACAGTAAACAGAGGTGTGAGACAAAGGAATAGTAATAACGAAGAACAAAACAGTTTCATTGGAAATCATAAGTCACAAGGAGTGGATGCATCTGCGCCAACCATTGAGAACGATTTTGAGCCATGTCACCAATTGTTTCCAACCATTGGTTTTTACCGTCCCGAGGACCCCAACCAGGAAGTCTACATCCTCCTACTGTCACTTAATCGCTTTTATTAGATAAATTTACTCAGCAATTAAATTATACTCTACCATAATTCCCGGTTTTATTTTTCTATCAATAAACTCATGATTAATGACTGAAAAACAGTTTATAAAAAAAGTCTGTGAGTTTGTAAGAAATAAAGTGAAGCACGACATTTATTTTGATTTCGATAATAAATAAGTCTTTATACTCCTAAACGACTGCAATCTGAAAACTTAGAAGTACTACAGTCAGATCTCAAAAGCTGAAGTGTTATGCCAAGCAGTAACAATCGATGATAAAATATGTCCGGAGTATTATATTTTTCCGACATATAAATTGAGTAGAGTGTATTCAATAGAAAGATAATTTCAGGTGAAACAGAGAATTTCATTTTAACAGAATCAACACTCTATCTTTCAGTTGACTTTTTATAAAATCAACCTCCCATGATAACAATATACCAGATTAGATAGGAACATAAGGCTCATTATTTTTGTAATGGGTTAGAAATAGAATAAAAAGAACTACCATGGTAATAACTACGAGAAAAAACTGCATGATATAAATTTTTCTGAAGTTAGCTATCCATAAGATGTGCAGTAGAAAGTATTGTACAGTATTCTTGGTTGAGTTAACAAACCTGTTATGATTGAGAAGAGGTGTTGAATGCAACCCATTATGTTCAGTGTCTGAATTTGAAAATTGTACTGTATTTATCTGAAATTATATAACAAGTAACATACAAACTATATCTTCATCAGTAGCATTTTTTAATTTCTTCTGTAGTTCCAACACTTCCACTTTTAACTAGGGTACAGTGAAGTTAGGGAGAATTTTTACTTACTGAGACCACTTCTTGAGATATTTGAGAACATTGAGTTAGCTTCTGCTGCAAAAAAACCTGAATGAAATTAATAGCCAATTATACGTATGATAACAGACCTCGTACTCCCTAATTATTTGAACGGCCTTGCTGAACGCCTCACCTTTTTCTTGAAGTTGTTTGTCCAGTTTCAATACCTGAAAATGGAATTATTTAACTTTGTAAAAACATTCTCAAATATTTCTTCTTACAGGAAACATTTATCATCACCCTAGTAGAGTACTATTTTTTCTCAGTCAAAATGACCTGACTATAAAAAAAACATGCTGGCAGTTCTTCCTTTATTGGTTGCAACATTAACAGATTTACTCGGTAATTGACTCAGAAAGCTACTGTGGTAATATATTTGATTTCATTATTGCTTTAACTCGTCAGTCTGCTGGCAACATTTGCATTTAGAATATGACCACTGGATAAACAAGTGTTCTGATGTCTCGATAAGCATTTATTATGTTGATGAAATTAATGAACAATAATTTTACTCACTATAATATACAAGTATTTAATCTAAAACTGTAACTACTGATGTCCTTGTGAATACGTTTATATGAGAGTATAAATGTTGAAAGTCCATTATCAAATTTTTTAAGAGCGAAAATTAAAGAACTCGTTACCTTAGACATTTAAATGACACTAATCATTCAGTTACTAAGCTAGTGGTTCTGGATTATACATCACGATAAATTCTAATTTTATTAATCAGTGTGAACGAGTGTTACTGTCTTCACCAAATAGAATCTTTGTGTTAAGACTTGTATTTTTAGTATGTATTAAGCATCAGCATTTAAACAAATCATCATGAAACTACATTAAAACTTAACCTGATACAATGTGACTATAAACATAAACTATTTTCGAATAAGCCACTTTTGATGTTAACATGTAACTTTAGTGGAGTTAACTTTCACGTGAACTGAACGCTAGATTTATGCCTCTTTCTCCCAGAAATAAAAATAATAATGTGTAAAAAGCAGAATAATACACCTTTTTATTCTTTGAGAATTCAAAAATTTGACAGATATAGATAGAAAATTACCTTGGCATTTAGCATGTTGCCCTTTTCTTCAGCCATAGCTAAATGGGCTTTTAACTGGACGTTGAGACTTTTCTCTTCTTCTAGTGACAATTGCAAATCCCTTTTGGATGTTTTCTCATCCTCTAAACATTCTACCAGCTTGTCTCTTTCTTGAGCTATCTTTGAAAGACTGAGAAAAACATTCACATAGTGTTTTAAGTCTTTTGGATTCAGTCCAAAAACCTTTAGCTTTATTTTGATCGGACATATCAGACTGAACTACACTACATGTAAAAAGTTTTATCGAAAAGTCAAACCATCAGGCATCTGAAAAGTACGATTTGCATTTCCTCAATATAGGGAACCATGAACACATTCTGTTTGTTGAAGAGTAATAGTACGGCAACGAAAATCAGGTGTCAGGCGTGCTTACACTAAATCTCGCATCAAACATACATGTAGTTTTATAAAATCTAAACTAACAGTTAGACAGTTTTGTAGTTGGAACAAAGTAATAATTTAGAATTGTAAATAGTGACATTTTACAACACAGCAAAAATAGCTCTAAAACTTTAGTTCAGAGAACTGTGAATAGCTCAATTTCACTGTCTGATTTTCATGATGATGTTGTCGACCATGCTTGTCAAATTATCGTGAAAACGTTTTGTGAAGCTCATCACTATGATTATTTGTTAAAATACCTTTACATTTTTGTTTAACCGTTTGCGAAGATATAGAGCTATGTTAGATTTAATAGCAAAAATATCAGTAAATGAGAGATTGTCGGCATGGGATCTATTCTGATTAAAATTTGCATACTGGTGTTCATAGAGAAGGATGCATTGCTGCATTATCTATTACTTCTCTGGCATGTCTGAACTACCTGATGCACATAGATACTGAGTGTATACTATGCTTCAGAAAACACGCGGAACAAGACATTTCCTAACAGTACTTCAGTGTATGCAGATGCTATTTACGTACATTAAAATTGAAAAAATTTTTAGTAGAGTTGTTTTAATGCATAATAGTCCAAACTAAACTGACCGGAATAAACTTTACACCAGCTGGCAACATTTTAATTTCAATGCAAAAAAAATTTTTAAGGAAATAAAAGATAATTCAGCGAAAATTTTCTTAATCGACGAAATCATCTTCAGAGGCTGTGCAGTCGTATTTATATTTACCAAAAATGTGTAGTAGTCCATTATTAAGTAATATGCGGTGACATAATTCATATAATTACTCAAAAGTGGCTTTAGAAGTGAAATATAAAATAAAATACAGGATGGGGTTGCTAGCCTCATGCCCAACCTGTCCTCTTCACCAGTATTATTTCTGGCTTGGCATTAGCTGGGGATCGAACCCCGGATCATGTGCATGGCCGACGAGCGCCCTTACCGCTATACCACAGACGCACTGGCATCATTTTAGCTGAACTGTATGGAAGAACAAAATATTTTAATAAATCAATCAATTTAAATGGTAAAAATTACAGCGTCTGTACCTGTGAAGTTTTTGGAGCATAATAACCAGCTCTTCCGATTTATCCTTAATTGTCTCATTAGCCGAATCTAACTCTGACAGTAGTTCAATATTTTCTTCCCTCAGTTTCTTGTTCACCTGTGCCAACTGATAACATTTTTCACACATGACGCTGTGATAACAAAAATTGTTACACATTGAAGAGCACATTTACTCATCACGTAAATCTGAACGTGCAAACATTCTGGACGTGGATCTTTATCCAATGAACGGAATCCAGCGCGAAAGTACATTCGACTGTAAAATAGAATTTCAAATGTTCAATATTCAATATCCTGATTACGAGCTAGTGTAAGCCAGTTTCATTTCTTTGTACTCGCTTCTTAAAAGTGAGGTAAAGGCTCCTGGTCTTCGGTAAACTTCTGCGTAGTTCTCCCCTCCACTCGACTGTCTTAGCTCTGGTTGACTTCCAAAGGAATGGTGTTGGGATTAATTATGTTGTTTGTAGTTTGCTGTGTGTTAAGACTGCGTTGCTACTGTAAACGGAGTTTACCTTTTCACCAGCTAGTCCTCCGGCGTCGTCTATAAAACAGAAGAGATAATAATAACATAACTAGTGTAGGTTATTCAGACTAAAAGACAGAAGAGAAATACAGAAGACGTAAAAGCAGACAGCTAGTTAAATTTTAAGTTGATCTTTATATAAGTGTATATGTTATCACTAATAATAATAAGAAGAAGTGTAAGTGTAGTAGTTGGAGTAGTTAGGAGAGTAAGAGAGGAGAGAATGTAAAGTAGTAAAACGAAGAGTCTACATGTCTTCCCATTAATCGGGTATGAGATTTTAAGGGGGTAGGCTGTTCGGACGTAGTCCTTGTGTCGCTGCATGACTGTTCACACTTCGTTTGAAGCCGTCCACAGATGGTGCCGTAGCTAGGTCTGCAGCAAAAAGTTCCAGGGCCGGAAAACCCTCAGTGAAAAGAAGTGAGAGGGCATTCGAGTCTTTACCCTCTGGTGGGCTATTCTTCCGGGATTTCCGCGAGGAAGCCCATGCCTACCTAATGGAAGGATACCTTTGTTTGAGTGATTCTGGTCATTTGCTATCTTATAGGTAGTAATCAAGTCCTCCCTTAACCGTTGGCCACCTCACAGCCATCCAGAAGCCTTAGGTCTGCCTGCAGCCTATCTGAGTCTTCCGGACGCTGTATTGCTCTCCAAATCATTAACTTGTTAGCGTAAAGGAGAGTCGGGCAGCTTAGACGGCATGGTGAGTCATTGATAAAAAATCGAAAACATCAGTGGCTCTAGGATAGAGCCCTGCGACACTCTTGATGATGAGCTGTTTCAAGATAATCGGAATTGATTGAACTTAGTGCCTTTATTCGGGGAGTAGCCACTGGGTATTCCTCCGGTGAAATAGTAGTGCCACCATTTTGGTCAGCACCGATAAGACCGCATTACTGTTTAACTGTTCGGCAAGGGCTAAAATGAATGTTTCAGCCGTCTCTAGACTAGTGACGTGGTCGCGGCGAACGAGATCGAATCCCATGACTGCGTCGTCACTACTTCCTAATGGACTCATGACCTGGACTTTTTCGACGAGTAGTTGGTCACTAGTTAAAATACAGTTAAGTTTAGATGACTTCCCACCAGGGCCCCACCTAGTATCGTCTCCAACATTCTCAATCTGTCCTGTATTTCGCATGGTCTGTAGTAGATTTCGACCGAATTTCCACTGAGCATAACCCGAGCCAAGGTTCAGGGATAGGGCGTTAAAACCTCCAACTAGGTTGATTTGGTCATAACCGAGTCTCATATCCCTGTGGTGGTGCTAAGCAGTAGTTGGTTGTGCTCTGCCCCACAGGTGGGTGATCGTTAGACGCCACCCGGTAAATGCTTGGTGTGGCTGATGGTAAAATGACACCATGGGGAGCATAGGAGTTCAATGAGTCGCAGGTCCATGGCATGTACACATTTAAGTTGCTTGCCAAAGTATATGGCTACACTACCTGCCTTCCGTGTTAAGCCTGTCTCTCCTGACCAGAACCATATCGCTTATACCTATTTTGTTGTCGGTGATAGTGGGGGTTAGCCAGGTTTCAGTAAGGATGATTATTTTAAGGTGTAAGTGTGACTGGAGGTTTCTGAGTTCACCTTTCTCCCTCTCAGCCCTCTCACATTGCTATGCAGGCATCTGGCAGCGGGTCTCGCAACCTCAGCGTGTTGTGGGGCAGATGACGTTACGTTGTCTGCTGGTTAATGACTTAAAATTGGGACTAGTTGGCCGATTCCGACTGAACCGGTCTGTTACCGGTATTTTCCTTAGGTTCAGATAAGACACCTGGCTGATACTGACTATCATCTCAGCGCCCCATCGCTGTAGTATCACCGAGGCTTAGGGAAGTATTAAGACCTAATGTTGCAGGTTCGGGGTCTGCTTTAGCAAAATCGGATGAGTCCTCCCAATTTACCCTTGGTCTTATGCCACCGTTGAAGTACTAGAGCCAACTGTTCCTGGGAGGTGAATTCGGCACTTAGCAGCCTTGGGGATATAATCAGTATGAGATTAGCGGGGCTAGGCGGCCGTAAAATCGACATAGCTCCAGAAGCACCAAGGGCCATCTGAGGTGACCGCCATCTCCACTGCTGTACGTCATGCATGTGTTTTTCGCAAGCGGTGCTAGTTTCCAGCTACGGAACACCGCGCATCACCACAGAGGTAGAAGGCATCTGTTCCGGTGACTCCCTCACCATTTGCCTGTTAGCCCATGGCCTATCATGCCCTTTTCTTATGATGGAACTACTGTTGATAGCTATGACTTGAGTCAGTAACTGTATACTTTCTGCCTTTTCGGCAGAGCCCAGTGTCACCCTTAATATAGGTGGCTTACCTTGAGGCGCCTGAACACCCATTTACAGCCTGCACAATTTTGCTTAATTGATTTTCAGACCTGGTTTACTGCACAAGTTGGACCACAGTTCCTGTCCAAAAAGAGCCCTTTGTTGAAGCAAACTATGATTGCACATGGGTACATTAAATGGGATAAGAGAATTCGACTGATTGATTTGACACTTAAATCTGGTCTTTGGCTGCTTGTCCTCCTTTGTAGGGTCGGTCACTTTAGATTCCATCAGGTTCTGACTAGTGTTTACTAAGTTGCCATGCCTGCTAGCGGATGCAGGTGGTGCTCTGACAATTCCATTTTCCTCTCCTGTTCCAGGTGTAACCTTGGGAATCCTAAGTTTCTGAAGATTGGTATTTCCAGTCGGGTGGGCTGGAGTATCTTTGGTACAGTTTTACCAAGAACTCCCGTTGGAATTAATATTCCTATCCATGATGATGTACGACAAGTTGGTGGATTTAAAGATGTTTTCTTGGATAATGTACTTAGTGTTCGTTTCAAGGATCCTAAAACAGAATTTCTACGTAATGAAGACAAACAAATGTACGTGGAACATCCTGAAAGTTCCTTTGAGTTAAAATTTGGACTTCATGAACTGACGGGGTATGGTTCTGGTAAACTGTTTCGGCGCGATTGTTATGGAAACGAAATTTCCACACGAAAACTACTGAATATGTCATAAATGGAGGTCCTGTAAAAGGCTGGTGTGAACCAAGAGAAACGTATGACAGCAAGTTTTCAAACCTTTCATCTGCAATAGATAAGTGTCGAGCTGAGTGCGTTGGAATTTATTTATCTGATTTACCTCTTGTTCTGGAGCAGTTCGGTTTGAATACCGACTGTGCTCAAGGCGATGTCCCAGATGTAGTCTATATTAGTTGGTTGTCAATGATTCCCCCAGCTGTAACTTCCATGGAGTTTTATTCGCCAGCAGAAAATGCTGATGACATTGGATCATGGTGTCAAGCACATTATTGTGCTTGTTATGCGATTCTGCGAGTTTTGATTGAAGCTGGCAACTCTGTGGTGCGTGCAAATGAAGTAGTCGGTGAGGACGATGCATCTGATTTGTGTATTTCCTTTGATCTAAAAATGCTTTTAACTTTGGATCGTTCAGCAATTGGTGAATTCTTAAGAAAATCACAATATTACGAAGGTAAATCGAATGCTAGAGATGGATATGCTTTCTTCCAACAATATAGTCAACTACTTCCACAACATTTGACTGATTTGTTCTGGCATAGATGGCTATGTGAATATCTTCCGATGCTGCAAGCAAGATATAAATAGTTGGATATAAAGCGTAACCTACAACCTGGTGATCTCATCCTAGTTAACATTGCTGACACGCAGAGAGGTCTCTGGCCAAAGGCTATAGTTAAGCAGGTGTACTATGACCAAGATGGCCGCGTGAAGACGGTGCGGGTGAAAACTGCAACTCAAAAAGTCGAACGAGATATAAGAAGCTTATGTTTGTTGGAAGAAGCAGAAAACTTTAAAGTTCCAGGTACGAGAAGTCAACGTGTTGATCGTTCGCGGGGAGTGTTAATCGCGACAGATAGATAGACTATATGATAGACAGCTAATCAAAATGATGTGACCTTCTTGTAGCGATTATTGGTTAATTTAATGTAACTCACACCACGTGATGTGACCTTGAGTGTTCTTTGTTGTCTGTCACTTTATTTGTATGTACATGTAATTAATTAAGCCAGTGAAGGATGAAAACGGAAAGTCAATCACCAAAGAAGTGGAGCAAAGGAAACACTGGGCTGAACACTTCAAAAGACTACTAAACCGACCGCCACCTACAACGCGCCCAACAATACCAACAACGGAAGCAGAATTACCAGTGAACACCAACCCCCCGACGAAATCAGAAGTCCTGAAGGCAATCAAGATGCTGAAAGCTGGAAAAGCAGCAGGACCAGATGGAATCCCAGCAGAGGCATTGAAAGTGGACCCAGAGACAACAGAGGACTTGATGACGCCACTACTGGAGAAGGTATGGAAAGAAGGCAAAGTACCCGAGGATTGGAAGAAAGGATGCTTATTCAAACTACCAAAGAAAGGAGACTTAAGTCAATGCAAGAACTGGCGCGGAATTATGCTCCTGTCCATCCCAAGCAAAATACTAAGCCGCATCATCCTGGAAAGGATCAAATAAGCCCTGGATGAAAAACTTCGACTGGAACAGGCTGGATTCAGGAGAAACAAGTCATGCATTGATCAGATCGCCACATTACGGATCATCATTGAACAAAGCTTGGAATGGCAGTCACCTCTCTATCTCAACTTCATCGACTTTGAAAAGGCTTTCGATAGCGCAGCGTCGATCGAGAGGTGATTTGGAAACTACTTCGCTACTACGGGTTGCCACCGACAATTGTATATCTCATCCAACAGCTGTACGACAATGCTGCATGCCAAGTAATCCACAAGGGGAAACTTACGGAACCCTTCGAAGTGAGGACAGGAGTAAGACAAGCTGGCTGCCTACTATCGCCAATGATTTTCCTGATTGCAGTAGACTGGATAATGCGACAAACAGCGGGCAATGAGGAAACAGGCATAAAATGGACACACACAAAAAACTTGGAGGATCTGGACTTCGCCGATGATATATGTCTGATTTCCCACAAACTGGAAGATATGCAAGCGAAAAGCAACAAGTTGGCCGAAGAAGCATCCAGAGAAGATAGGACTTCAGGTGAACATAGAGAAAACACAGGTGATGAAGATTCCCGGGCAACACCACCACCAACAGCAACAACAACAGACAACAATCAGCATAAATGGGAGGAACCTGAAAGAAACAACCTCTTTTACCTACCTGGGAAGCATCGTTTCAACTACAGGAGGATGGAACTGACGAGGATATCAAAGAAAGAATCGGAAAAGCAAGACAAGCTTTCACTACTCTCAAGTCTATGTGGAGGTCAACAACACTCAGTATCAAAAATAAGATCCGGATTTTCAACTCCAATGTTGAGTCAGTCAGTGCTACTATACGGATCAGAGACTTGGCCAGCGCGTCATAAAGAGCATCTCAAACAAGCTACAGACCTTCATTACCAGTTGTCTTCGCTCAATACTCAAGATCAGATGGCCGGTCAGAAAAGATCAGCAACAGGGATCTCTGGGAGCGAACCAACCAGGAACCGATTGTGAAACAAATAGGGAGGAAGAAATGGAGATGGATTGGCCATACTCTGAGGAAACCATCATGTGACATCACTAGACAAGCCATTGCTCGAGTGGAACCCGAAAGGGAAGCGACGAGTTGGTCGTCCAAGGGTGACTTGGAGGAGATCATGTGAAGAAGAAATGAAAGCGTATGGGCAGACATGGAGCCAGGTGAAGACTCTAACGGAGAACCGGACGCAATGGAGACGCATGGCTGAAGCCTTATGTTCCTCTAGGAACTAAAGGAAATAATAATACATGTAATTAATTAACTGTTCATTTTGTCCGTTCCCTCAATACTGTTCGGTACGTTTTTGTCCTTTTTTGAATGATTTGTATATTTTTCTTGGTGTAATTGTATGATTTATTTTATGTTTTAGAAACAGATAAAGTTTAAGTCAAGTCATTCTGTTTTTAACTATAGTTAAGCCAAGACTCTGTGTCGTCAGTATTGAGGAAGGACTAAATCTGTTGGCAAAACTAATCCTACACTTACTGGGATCTATTTATCGCTGTAACCCTCCTTTTAAACGCTCTTGAAATTCTTGTGTTTGATTGGTATGAATTTCAGTTGTTTTGTAAATAAAATCAGAGTGATTCACCTGATGATTAATAAATTCCAGATATAATAACTGTGGATACAAAATCCACCTAGCCCAATTGACGGTTGCTCATGGGCTGTGAGACTGTAGTGTTTCTGCGTAAATGACCCATTCACGTATCATAGTTAAGACTGTTTACCGTCGACTTTAGGCAGGATTAACTTCCTTTTTAATCCCAGTCAAAGAGCATGGTTTTGACGATATAAAGGGCACACATTATAAGGGATAAGAAATGTATTGATCAGCATCACTTTTTGGTGGAGTCAGTGCAACTGATATAAGGATAAAGCTTGGGCACTGTGGTAGAGTACAATTCCATTGTGGATAACGTTTTATTTTGATAAAATCACACGCGGTTATATAGCAATGTTTACTGATGACATTTCAAACATAGTTTGTTGCTCATAATCATATCGAGGTACTCACAAAACTATCTTGCTTCGCTTATATACAATGTTTTTAGATAATGTATGATTAAATTTTACTCACATTTATAGAAGAAGCAAGTAAGTTGTGTGCGTAGCTTGATGTGATTTTTTGAGCTATAAATTGTGCTTCAGAATCAGTACAACCTCGTCACATTTATGATAACCTCAATGCTTATAGAATATGAGCAGAAAAGATGCATCTCTTGTGGATCTAACCCATTTTCAGACTTCACTTATGATATTTTTCTCTTCAGAGGCCTCGTTTTGTTCCCTACTCGGTTCTCTTATGCATTTATTTGACTACATGAATCTTTGCAGTTTGCCAACAGTTGATTTGGAAATGTTAGATATGTGATGGTTTGGGGGAAGTGATGTGTGCTAATGTGGTGAGGGCTGTCTGCAAGCCAAAATTGTAAACAACAATTAACGTCAACTCTTAAGTCCTAAATCGGGGTTATGAGAAAAAACAAGAACATAGGCTAACCTTCTGGAACTCACCAACCAACCACAGCAGACTTAACGTGTGCAAATACGATTCGCACATATATGGATAACTTTGTAATTAACGGTCATAAGCAGTATAGAATAACCTACAGCAAGAAAACTCGATCAGAAAACTTTCTTCTCTGCTGAAATAACGAAAAACGATACATCAAAATATATAAATATCTCTTGATTTTCTCAGTAAACGATCTGCTGACTGGCCGTTGTCTTCTGTCGTTACACTACGAGACAAAATACATCAATGGGTAGAGGTCGGATATAAGTTTCACACTGACGTCCCAGAAAATTTTAAGGCAACACATCTGATATATTTCAAAAACGCAATTGTGAACCAGAGTATTTCTATAGAGAAGGAGATAGACAGACATATCTATGCCCAGGTTAAGAACCAGAAATAAATGAATTACGCCAAAACATATTTTCAAAACCACTCCATTGGCATCAGTGTTAGAATTTGAGATTTCAACAAATATAACCAGATGTAAATTTTACTTTGTAAACAGGGCTAACCCTAGGGTAACTGATGTTTTCGATTTTTTATCAATGACTCACCATGCCGTCTAAGCTGCCCGACTCTCCTTTACGCTAACAAGTTAATGATTTGGAGAGCAATACAGCGTCCGGAAGACTCAGATAGGCTGCAGGCAGACCTAAGGCTTCTGGATGGCTGTGAGGTGGCCAACGGTTAAGGGAGGACTTGATTACTACCTATAAGATAGCAAATGACCAGAATCACTCAAACAAAGGTATCCTTCCATTAGGTAGGCATGGGCTTCCTCGCGGAAATCCCGGAAGAATAGCCCACCAGAGGGTAAAGACTCGAATGCCCTCTCACTTCTTTTCACTGAGGGTTTTCCGGCCCTGGAACTTTTTGCTGCAGACCTAGCTACGGCACCATCTGTGGACGGCTTCAAACGAAGTGTGAACAGTCATGCAGCGACACAAGGACTACGTCCGAACAGCCTACCCCCTTAAAATCTCATACCCGATTAATGGGAAGACATGTAGACTCTTCGTTTTACTACTTTACATTCTCTCCTCTCTTACTCTCCTAACTACTCCAACTACTACACTTACACTTCTTCTTATTATTATTAGTGATAACATATACACTTATATAAAGATCAACTTAAAATTTAACTAGCTGTCTGCTTTTACGTCTTCTGTATTTCTCTTCTGTCTTTTAGTCTGAATAACCTACACTAGTTATGTTATTATTATCTCTTCTGTTTTATAGACGACGCCGGAGGACTAGCTGGTGAAAAGGTAAACTCCGTTTACAGTAGCAACGCAGTCTTAACACACAGCAAACTACAAACAACATAATTAATCCCAACACCATTCCTTTGGAAGTCAACCAGAGCTAAGACAGTCGAGTGGAGGGGAGAACTACGCAGAAGTTTACCGAAGACCAGGAGCCTTTACCTCACTTTTAAGAAGCGAGTACAAAGAAATGAAACTGGCTTACACTAGCTCGTAATCAGGATATTGGATAATGGAATAATCTTTTATTTTCTTCACTTTATTGGATATTGAATTCGTAACCTTGAGGTTTTCGATCCTCGAAAATTGGCGAAGAGGTAGAGTTGGTAGGATTACTAGGTAATTTGGTAATGTTTCTAATGTTTAAGTTACTTTATGTGTTAGTGTGTATTTGTAGTCATATTGGTTGGTTTTAGACTTTTCTCTAATTCTCTTTAAAATGAATATGTATATTAAATGGTGAATTCACAAACTAACTGAGCAAGTATAATATTTTTACGCTGCAGAGTCCGTGAAAAGAAAATGCATTTTTTGCAGACGTTTCTATTTACCAAAAATATCGGGTGCATATTTTCAGGTGCAATGCACCTGAAGTGCACATATTACGTTTATTATTTACCCCGGTTCAAGGATAAAAACTGTTGGTACCACTGAAATAAATGTAGCATATCGAAGTAACTGCAGTATTCCCTAAGCTAGTGAGTTTCAAGTAGTAAATATAAATAATGATAAATAAGTCACAAGTGAGGAAATATGAAAACTTTCGGTACATTGGTGGAAATGCTAACTTTTGTTGCTTTCTAACAAAGTGCCTTCATTCCGAGTGCATTAAACTAGATGATTCAGATTATCGGGATAAAAGTCTTCTTTCGCCTATGTTAATCCTTACGATATATCTCCTCAGAGATCTATTATCTCTTTGAAAGCGTTCATCGATGGAGCTGTTACTATTGCACCAAGTAAGGAGTTCAAGTCGTTGACTACTCTGTCAGAGAATCTAAGTTCCACCGAATTTTATTCAACCTCGGTTTGAGCACCTTCTTACCGTGACCTCGTAAATGTATCTTAGAGGGAGAGGAAACATTTGAAAAGTCAATCCCTTAATCACCCTTTAATAAATGGTATGCCAAAATTAAGTCGCCTCTCCTCCTTTGATTTGATAATGGGAAGAGATTTAAACGCCCCAAGTACTTATCATAAGGAATGTGTGAGATACCACTAACTAATTTGGTCCCTACACTCCGTAATCTCTCCAGGATACGTGCCTCCTTTTCGAAGCATGAACTCACCGCTTGTATGCAGTATTTTAGATGAGGTCTGACATATGTTGGATAGAGTACCCTCGTCTAACCGTTTGAATGCCCATAGCATTCGAAAAGCCTTAGCTGCGGTTCCATTACAAACCACTCACATAAGCGTTGGTTTAATCCAAAACTTTTGTGTTTACTAAGAAGACCTAAATAGGATAACTTATCAAATGCCATACCAAGATCGACAAAATCTATTTAATAGATTGTTCTTATCCCTGGCTTTAACCCAATCTTCCCTAGCTAACAGTAAGTTTGTCAGGCAGAATTGTCCTGGTCGAAATCCATGCTGTTCCACTGCCAGTAAGCCATATTTCTCCATTTGAGCTAAGAGCTAATACCTTTGCTATGATGCTGGTCAGACTTACAGGCAGGTAGTTAGATACTAACTTCCTGTTCCCCACTTATAAAAGCTTATAAAAGTATCTTTCCATTCCCTGGATAGCCTAGCCTGGGTCAGAGACATTTGAAAAATCACCGAAATTGGAATGTATATTATATCCGCCAAGGGGATTAGCAGTCTAGGGTGAAGTCCGTCAGGTCCAGGTGATTTATCTGGCTTCATTTAAGACAGTAGTTTGAGAACCACTGCATCCTCTACCACAATTAGGGGTATTTTAGGGCCTACGGTGGTGACCTCACTACACCCATGAGTGGTACGATTAGGTGAAAAAACATCACAAAAGTATTCGGAGAGCTTTTCACCTTTTGTTTCATCTGACCCGGCCGCATCTCCAGTATTGCTTGTGAGTAACTGTGTACCACTGCTAGTTTTAGTCCTACGTGTGATGTACGGGTAGTCTTTTGGGATAAAGCATACAATCCAGTACTAACTGTCTGTCATACTCTATAGGACTTTTGTCAATCATATACTTACAACGGTTTCGAATTTTGCGGTATTCCATCCGAAACTCATCCCTTCCAGTCACAGCAAACCTGTCCCATAAGTTCTTTTGTTTTCTTAATAACCTTATTTCATTACTAATCCAGGGTGGTTTATGAGATAGTTTTCGAGGCGTAGACCAAGGTACTAAGGGTGCAGTGACGCACTCTAGAGTATTCCTAAATCCCATCCAAGCCTCCTCGACAGTCTGGTGTGTATTAACAGACCAGTCAGCTAGGGTTGCTGCATTTCGGAATGTAGGTATATTCGCTTTCCAAACGTTTGGGCGAGCAGCTGTTGACCTATGTATGACAGCCTGAATCCGAAACATATAAGTGATAACTATGTGGTCACTACTGCCTAGCGGTGCCAGGCACCTAATGTCACCGACATCCTCCTTTTGGTGTGTTAGCACCAAGTCTAGAGTGGATGGATCATGTTCAGGATGGTATCGTGTTGGTGCGTCTGTATGATGCACAAGTGCGCATTCAAGTACTGCCAGTATGAGTTTTCTGTTGAAACTAAGGTACAAGTTAGTTGATGTTAATTACTCCCAATTAATATGTGTGGCATTAGTCACCTATTGTTAGACACCTATATCTACTACTCCAGGTCCTGAGGTAATTTAGTACGAAATCGTCAGCTTGGCTGACAGGACTTCTATAGATAACCCCAATTGTCACAGTGCCCTTGTTCAAGCTAATGACACAGCTTGCGACATCACTACTGCCGCTGTCGTAAGCTTCCGACAACGTTGATCTAATTCTTATGTCATCCTGGATATTTAGGGCGACCCCACCACCTTTCCGACTAATAAATCTGTCTGCTTTAATGCAGATGTACCCAGGTATGAGTGGAGTTAGGTCTACACGCACTAACAAACATGTTTCAATGACAGCGATCACATCAGGTTGCAGTCCTTCAGATAACGCTCCTAATTCAGAGAGCTTATTCCTAAGACTACACGCGTTCGTATAGCAAACTGAAAGATCCACGTATTCACTTGACTTATGAACAGAAGTTTAAGTAACATAAGTTTTCAAGACCTCACTAGCCGAAAACCCAACAGTTTAAGGTCTTTTCCACCTTATCCTAGTCGGGCTTTTGATTGATCCACGACTTCTCTTAATTCTATCTTCCAGAGGCCAGTCGGGCCTAATTCTCATCTTTTTGTCCTTGATCTTCATTGCGTTGCTGAGAATAATGTTTTTCTCCATCTCGTTCCCCAGTACAATATTCAGCAGTCGTGGGGAACTTTCCGTTGCATCGGCATTTCGTTTACAGATTCTGGTGACTTTTCTTTTTTCAGGAAATGCTTCACGAATAATAAAGCTAATTACCTCGAAATCATCAGCATGTCAGGCATCTGGATCTACTCTCTTTGATTCCTCCAAGTTCCAAATTACGATACTTTAATCTGAGTCCGAAGGTTTACAACCGTCGAGACCTTATCACTAAATCCAGTTTTTTCTCTTTCCTATAATTCTTTAGCTTCCTATTTTTTAACACTAAGTTGAAATAGTTACTTCTATTTTGCTCTCATCGCAGTTGGAAGTTATCCGTTCACCAGACACGCAACGCTTTGTCGTGATAGTATGGCCCGATGGTCTTACAATGTTGGCAGCACTTGCCATTTTCGATTTTCGGGACCTTTTGCGTGCCGTTGTGGACGTTTGGGCACACTGTACCTCTTTTGTGTCGTTCGCTTCGGGATGTGGTTCTGTCTCAGTCTTATGACTCATTCCAGAGTCATCATTCCTGGCATCGGTTCTAGATGCTGGCTCTTTTCCTCAAGTGAGATTTTTGTCAATTTTTTGGAAATAAGAAGTCCTACAACCTCTTGGATGAGGACGTCCAACGTGATGCCACAAAATTTGCACACCCATGGAGACGATGGCTTGGTGCATCGCCTATAAGCTGATGGTAATAAGTCAGTGCAAACTTTATGAAACCATAGGTTGCAATTTTCACACTGCATCCCATCATCCACCGGAAAGTGGCAGTCTGGCCGTCCACAGCTATTAGTGAGACTCATGTCTCTATAAGTTGTTTAAATTACACAGACAAATATATATCCAAATGTATGGAAACTTCCATGTGTATTCGAATCAAGTGCTTTTTCGATGCAATTTTTTTCAGTTGATCACAGGATGAGATAAGTGGACTGTTTACCTTTCATTGAGACCTATTAATCTCCCAATAATAAGCTGGTAATACCTATGGTGTTTCAAATATTATAATCGAAAGGCTTTGAAATCTGGTGTGTTAAAGTTTCGGCATTAATATCATGAATCAGCAGAAGTAGTCATATTTAGAACTGTTAACTCACCATGTGCATTTTTTTTCCCATGCAGATATGGACGCACCCGAAGAGCCCCTTGATTTAAGAGTGAGTTACTTCATGAATAAAAAGCATAATAAGCGAAATACTGACTTATAAGCGGGGTTAACTAAAGTGTTTTCTGAGTTTTAGACTGTATGTCGTGATTTGTTGTGCGTACTGTGTTGTGCTGCTATATTTTGACTAAACTAGCGTATACGTATATCTTAATACTTCTTCGCGTTTATAATTGTGTCCTAACGTTGCGATTACTCGACATCCACAACGTAATTCAAAAGGCACTTGCGAAGGAATACGATAGTGTATTATTGCAGCAATCAAAATTCAAAAATCGAGCGAGTACAAAAGTATCAATTGTTAACACGCAATCTTTAGAGTGATAAACAAATCAAAGTCCAATTACATAGTGAAAGTATACTGCGATGATGAGTAATAAAACGGGTCACTACAATAGCCCCTCCGTAGAATGCAGGTAAATGAAGTTTACCTGTATTCGGAATGATATTGTAAATTACAATGACAGAAGAAATATATACGAGTTTCTGGTATGAAAACCGAATTGAGGATTTTAAGTTTTCTGAGGTTTGATAATGTAACTGTATATATGCGAAAATGTTAACAACTTCGAAACGAACCAAAATGTTTAGAAAGTTGTGCAAAATGTAACAATAAATCCAGAAAAATTATTAGAATAATAATGAGGTTGTTATTGTAAGGAGTTACAGAATAGATTTATATCTTACATACAGTTAATAGTACAGTAATAAGGTAGTATGGAAATGAATTAGAAATAAATTGTCTGTACAAATCTTTGTGGCCAATGTACTCGTCTGCCTGATCTTGTGATTCTTTCTGTTTTGTTAGCTGGAATATCATCAGATTTTGAATCTTGAGATGATGTTGATTTGGGTAAACATTCAGTCACCTCTATTTCCATGAAAGCTGGTTTTACGCGATCGATGCTTACATTCTCGTGTTTTCCTCCGCGTTCGACAGTGATGATTTTGCTTGTTCTGCTTATTAATTTGAATGGTCCGTCATAAGGTGGTTGAAGTGGTTTCCTTACACCGTCGTGTCGTATGAAAACATGCGTGCAATTTTCTAGTTTTTCAGGCATGTATGCTTGGTTGAGCTGATGTCGCGGCGGATGATATCTTAAAAGGCTCATATGTTGTCTCAGTTGTTGCACAAAAGTAGTTTCGTCAGCTGGAACTTCAGTGGCTGGGTTGAAATATTCTCCAGGTAGTCGTAAAGTAGTTCCATAAACTAATTCTGCTGGACAACATTTGATATCTTGTTTTATTGTCGAACGTATTCCAAGAAGTACAAGAGGTAATTTATCGCTCCACTTATCATCGTCCTTCACTGCCATCAATGATGCTTTCAGTTGACGATGAAATCTCTCCACTAAGCCGTTTGAACTGGGATGATATGCAGTAGTACGTATACGTTTGATTCCCAGTAGTTCTGTGAGTTGTTGGAATAAATGGCTTTCGAATTGGGCACCTCTGTCTGTAGTAATAATGGTGGGCACTCCGAAGTTGGAAATCCAATTTTGTATGATGCTCTTTGCAACAGTTTCAGCAGAAATATCAGGTAAGGGACAAGCTACTGGCCATCTCGTAAATCTGTCAATACACGTTAAAATGTACGTAAAGCCATTAGATGGTGGTAACGGTCCAACGATGTCAATGTGTATGTGTTGGAACCTACCATCAGGTTCTGGAAACTGGCCATTAGGTGAAACTGTATGTCGTTGTACTTTTGACTTTTGGCAGGCGAAACATGATCTGGTCCACTGTTTAATCTCCCGATTCATATTCGGCCATACATATCGGTCACTTATCAGTTTAACTGTTGCTCGGATGCCAGGGTGAGAAATGCCATGTATTTTGGAAAAAACTGATCTTCGCATTTCTAGTGGGACAAAAGGGCGCGGTTTACCTTTGGAAACATCACACGTAATAGTTAGGCCTTCATCAAGCATAACATCTTGCAAACGTAAGGAAGTACTCGTGCTATTTTTTATTCTTTTCAGATCCTCGTCCATAGTTTGCAGTCTAGCCATATTTTTAAGATCAAACTGGTCTTTTTCTAAGGTATTTATATGGATGCGGGATAACGCATCTGCTACCTTTGATGAATCTAATATCTGAAGTGAACTGAGAAATGAACTCGAGGTGTCGGAGTTCTCTTGGCAAGTACTTGTCGTGCTTTGCATTCATGGCCTTGGTTAAAGGTTTGTGGTCTGTGTAGATGGTAAACGGTATTCCTTCTACCATATGACGAAAATGTTTAACAGCAAGATAGACTGCTAGTAATTCTCTACTGAATGCACTATATCTTGATTGAGTGGCGTCTAGACGTTTGGAGAAAAAGGAGAGAGGTTGCCATTTCCCAGCAGAAAATTGTTGAAGAACTGCACCGACGGCGACGTCTGATGCATCTGTCATAATACCTATAGGAGCGTTGACGTCACGACGTACTAGTAAAGTTTCTGAGCTTAGAGTTTGTTTCAGCTTTTCAAATGCCTCGATTGCTGAAGTACTCATGTGCAGCGATTTTGCATGACCTTTTAGTAGATCTGTCAGAGGTTGGGCCAGCTGTGCACAGTGAGGAATGAAACGGCGATAAAAATTGACGAGACCAAGAAATCTGCGTAACTTTTTGAAGGAATCTGGAATTGGGTATTCTTTTATGACTTGCAGCTGTTCTGCTATTGGTCGAATGCCTTGATTGTCTACCTGATGTCCCAAAAATTTTATAGTTTTCTTACCGAATTCACATTTACTTGGTTTAATGACAATTCCATATTCGGCTAAACGTTTAAAGAGTGTTTCTAAGTGATGTTGGTGCTCCTCAGGGGATTTACTTGCAACCAGTATATCATCGATATAAGCGTAAGTGAATGGGAGGCCGTGCAATACCTGGTCAATGAATCTCTGAAATGTTTGCGCTGCGTTAGTCAAGCCAAATGGTAGGCGGACGAACTCGAATAAGCCAAAAGGAGTGGTTACCGCCGTTTTGGGGATGTCCTTGGGCTCGACCGGTATATGGTAGTATGCACGAACGAGGTCAATTTTGGAAAATATCTGAGCACCTGCCATGTTATGGAAAAAATCGTGGATGTGCGGAATTGGGTATCTATCTGCTATCGTCTGCTTATTTAAAGCTCGGTAATCTCCACATGGTCGTATCTCTGTTGAGTTTTTCTTTGGTACCATATGCAGTGGTGATGACCATGGGCTGTTTGACGGTCGTATTATTCCTAGATCCAATAATCTATTGAACTCTGCTTTTGCTATTTGCATTTTAGCTGGATCTAAACGACGTGGTTTTGCTGAGACCGCTGGACCTTTAGTTACAATATGGTGTGTTACGTTGTGTTTGAGAGAGGCTGTGGAGTAATCGCTCTGTGTCAGTTCAGGAAATTTCTTTAGCAAAATATCGTACCTGGATAATTGATCTGTTGTGGCTACCATCAAGCGGATACTCTCGACATCTGTGGAGATGCCTGAAATCGATAGTTTATGACTGCTATCTATCAATCTGTGGTGACTAGAGTCGACTAGCAATTCGTAGTGTTGAAGAAAATCCATTCCAATGATAGGAAAGGTTACGTCGGTGACTACGAACTCCCACTCAAATGGTATACTGCAACCAAAATTAAGTTTTTGTCTCCGAGTTCCAAACGTTTTTATGGTAGAATTGTTCGCAGCCTTGAGAACTAATACTGGGTTTAGTTGTAAGCGTTCGTTGGGTGTTGGGGGAACTACACTAATTTCTGCACCGGTATCTACCAGGAATTGTGCCCCCGTTGTTTTGTCTGTCACCCTGAATAGACGGCTGTGGGACGTGTGTTGGCCAGCGACCGCAGTCGTCACCGACCGCCGGCCTTTTCGTTTCCCAACGCCACCGTTTGTTGGAAAGCACAAGGTTGTGTGCACCGTTTTGCGTGTACACCAAATTTGCGATGATACCAGCATATAGTCTGTTGTAAGCTATATTTACGCATATTGCGTGAGTGGCTACGCTGTCTTCTGTACGTTGTGGTAGGTTGTCTATTAACCCTCATTGTCATTAATTGCTCGGTGAGCACGTCGATTTTACGTTCTAAGGCTTCTATGCGTTCGTTTGACGTTTTGTCGACTACAGATGTTACTTGTGGAGATATCCGTTCATACATTCTGTCAGCGATTTCTGCCAACTTGTCAATATCTATGTCTTCATCTCCAAATGCTAATACTTGCTGAATGTTGTGGGGTAATCGTCTTAGCCACAATTGATAGAAAAACCTGGCGTCTACCTTCCGATCTCCTAAAATGTTACACATATGGCTTTTGAGTTGAGAAGGTGTTCTATCGCCCAGGCTAACATTGCTGAGTAGCTGATCGATAGCTTTCTGATCTGATAATGAAGCAACTTTAATAACCTTCTGCTTTAAAACATCGTACGGAGTTTCTGGATCTGGATGTATGAGCGTCTCTCGTACTTGCTCTGCTACATCGTCAGGTAATATGGAGCTTGCAAGGCCAAATTTTGTAGTCTGAGAAGTGACGTGGTTAGCTAGGAAGTAGTGTTCCAGGCGAGTGAACCACAAATATGGGTCGTTAGGTTTAAAAGGTGGTATGGATATGGTAACTGCAGCCACAGACCTTGTACTTAAAGTGTCGTTATCAGTATTAAATGACATCATAAAAGTGCAGAAAAGAATATATATAGGTGATAGCAAAATTACAAAAAGTGAGCAAAAACAGAACAGAATATAGGTAAGTTCAAAAATGTCCAAAAATGGTCTGCTTACCGGAGGTACTTTAAGCAAAAATATCAGTAAATATATATCCAAATGTAATGCAGTTATAAAAGTTAATACGATAGCAAAGATGATTAAATCCACTGTGTGTATACTTCGAAATGATGTAGTCGATCGATCAGCTATGTCGGGCTCACCAATTGTTGTGCTGCTATATTTTGACTAAACTAGCGTATACGTATATCCTAATACTTCTTCGCGTTTATAATTGTGTCCTAACGTTGCGATTACTCGA